GTCTTTTATCCATCTTGAATTAATTTTTGTGAGTGGTGAGAGAACAGTCTTTTATCCATCTTGAATTAATTTTTGTGAGTGGTGAGAGATATGGATCCTCTTTTATTCTTTGGCATGTGGCTATCAAATTTCCCTAGCACCATTTATTGAATAGGGCTTCTTTTCCCCAGTGTATATTGTTGTCTGCTTTGTCAAAGATCAGTTGGCTGCATGTAAATAGTTTTATGTATGGGTTCTCTGTTCTGTTCCATTGGTCTATGTCTCTATTTTTGTGCCAATAGTATGCTTTTTTTGGTTACTATAGCATTGTAGTATAGTTTGAAGTCTGGTAATGTGATGCCTCCAGATTTTTTCACAGCCCAATTCTAGCTGACCTACAAAGAAGAGCTGGTACCCATACTGCAGAAATTATTTCATAACATCAAGAATGAGGGAATCCTCCCCAACTCATTCTATGAAGTCAGTATCACCTTGATACCAAAGCCAGGAAAGGACACAACAAAAAAAGAAAACTGTAGACCAATATCCTGTGTGAAGGTAGATACAAAAGTCCTCAATAAAATACTAGCAAACTGAATTCAACAGCACATCAAAAAAATAATCCACCAGGATCAAGTGGGCTTCATCCCAGGGATACAAGAATGGTTCAACATATGTAAATCAATAAATGTGATTTACCACATATACAGAAGCAGAAACAAAGACTATATTATCATCTCAATAGATGCAGCAAAAGCATTAGACAAAATTCAGCAACCTTTCATGATAAAAACCTTCAGCAAACTAGGTACAGACGGAATATATCTTAAAATTAGAAAAGCCATATATGACAAACCCACAGCCAACATCATATTGAATGGGGAAAAGTTGAAAGCCTTCCCCCTAAGAACTGAAACGAGACAAATATGCCTGCATCACCACTTCTATTCAACATTGTGCTGGAAGTCCTAGCCAGAGCAATCAGGGAAGAGAAAGAAATGAAGGACATCCAAATTGGGAAAGAGGAGGCCAAACTATCACTTTTTGCTGATGATATGATTTTATATCTAGAAAACACCAAAGACTCTGCCAAGAGACTCCTGGAGTTCATAAATAAATTCAGCAAAGTCTCAGGTTACAAAATTAATGTACACAACTCAGTAGCATTTCTATGTACCAAGCTAAGAGTCAAATCAAAGACTCAGTACCATTCACAATAGCTACAAAGAAAATAAAATGCCTAGGAATATACTTATCCAAGTAGGTGAAAAATCTCTACAAAGAGAACTATGAAACACTGAGGAAAGAAATCATAGATGACACAAACAAATGGAAAACAATATCATGCTCCTGGATCAGTAGAATCAACATTGTTAAAATGTCCATACTACTCAAAGTGATTTACAGATTCAGTGGAATCCACATTAAAATACCAATGTCATATTTCACAGATATAGAAAAAAATAATTTTATACTTTTTTGGAACCAGGAAAGAGCCTGAATAGCCAAAGAAATCTTAAGGAAAAAAAAAAAAAAAAAACAACAGTCAGATTTTTAAAACTTTGCCCAAGAGCAGAGCAATGGCCTCTGAATCCTATTTTCATATCCATATTTTCTTGTTCATAGTTTATGTTTCCTTAACTCTGGCCTGTTTCAGCACATGTTGTCAGACAGACACAGGACCACAGGCTAACAAACATGTCCTTCTGCTGTATACTTTTCTGTATGTAAAGCACAGAAGAGTTGATCTTCCTAGGTTGAAATATGTCTATAATCCTTTACCCAAAAGTACTAATTTGTAAAACATGGAGGCCAAATAATTATCAAGTTTATGTTCAAGAGTTATAAAACATCTATATATGTAAATAATACAGGCTTTTTCACAGACATAAGAATTTTTAAACTTTACTTGGTATAAAACATCATGCATGTTAGGTACACTTTTCCCTGCTTTAGACACCTGACTATAACATCTCTTCAGTGTTCTAACACTGCTGTTTATCCTGTCCTTGTAAATAGTTAGGAAAACAGTTAACCATATACCTCCTACCTCATTTAGTCCAGTTTCTATTTCCCTGAAGACTTTTCTAAGAGATTAGTAAACGAATCAGAAAAGCTAATTGGAAACAGGTTATTAATGTCCAAGAATGGTGCAGCTTGCTATTCTCTGTTCTTACAGGGGGTTTAATTGTCTTTAATGCTTTATCCAAAGGAAGTTGAAAATATTGTGATATTTTTCTCTTAGAATCCTTTGCCTTGATCACCTCAAATTAGGGCATTTGGGAGTAATTATCTGTTCTGATTATCCGTAAAAAGGTCCCAATAATGTCAAGTAAAATATCATTCTCAAAGGGGATTTTGAATTTGTACTCTTCTCAATGACTCAATTTCTTCCCGTACTCATTCTGTCACTGTTGGAAGATTATATCATCTCTCAGTTGCCCCCCAAAAGAAGACCATTTGGATGCTTTCTCACATACCATTCTCTTTTTTTCTTCAGAATACCTCTGACTATATAACACCCCCTAAACATTTCACCCAAATCACAGAAAGAAGGGAGTCCCTATCTTTAATTCTAGTAGCTTAGACTTTAGATCAGTGTTATATTCTTTCCTGGTACCTGGGCCAGGGAGATTTTTTATTTACTTCTTTCCTAGTGTCTCACTTCTCTTCTGTATTGACACGTTCCCTTTAGCCTTGAGAGAGGCAAAGATCTAACCAACTTGAAAAAGAAACTTCCACTCTAATTTTGAAGATTTTTCTAAGGAAAATCTATTTCTCTTTCAATTATTCATTCTGGAACTGGGGGAATAACCACAGGATGTGTTCAGGAACCCACTGGGTGTATGGTGAGAGAGATTTGAGCTAAAGTTCTATTGATTTCCTAACATCCATAAACCCCTACTCTGGCTGGTGAATGACCGTGATATTGGGATTAGTGTCAATTCAGAGCCAGTGTCCAATAATCCCCCAAAGGTCTGATTATTTCCTTTTCCCCAATGTACAGTCATCCTGGTAAAAAGTGGAATGTCCCTTTGGGAAGACTGTGAGAAAGACTGAAAATTTTTGGCAATGTAGCAGGATCCTTCCTCAAGTGGACCTGGCCTCTCCTTTATTGAAGGGGTTCTGAGTCTGTACATTGGTTCAAGTATAGGAATTGATTGAGAGGCCATCACTCTCTCTTTTTATGATGCAAGTTAGACTTCTGTTCCCCTGACATAGAACTTGTTTACTTTTATAGATCAAATAAGAATTTAGTAGACTGCCTATCTATTTCACTTCTAGGGTCACCCTGATCAACTAACCAATTCCATAGGTCTCTGTGAATCAGACTGTGCTGAGTATTGTTTTGACTCCGCTGTCCATATGGTAACCACACCAGTCTTGACTTTGGTGATTCAGTGCTGTCTCTTGGCCCCTGTCCCCCTGGGATCTAATTACCCTCATTGTGTTTTAGAATCCCAGTTTGATGGCAGTAGTCCAAATTGTAATTCCTGACCTAAAGAGAAGAGAGTTAACAGAGGTCTTCAAGGATACTGGGCTTCTCATCATAAATTTATTTCTCACAATCATGATGAAAGGTGTGTCTTCTGGACCCTCCTGGCATGGGCAAGCAGGCCTTAAATGACGAACTCTAACATTTCAATCTCATTAAGCCTTCGTATGATTTCCTCTATGGTATATCAAAGCAGTATATCAACAACATTGGAAAATAATTTTGCATCATTTAAAAAAATGTCTGTGTATAGTTTGACATTATTGATTCTTTTTTTATTTCTCTTCTCCTTACTCTAATTCTTCATTATTTACAAGAATTCTCCAAGGTGAAGACATTCTCCAAGTTTGAGGTTTGCTTTCTCCCTCTCTCTCTCTATTCTATCCATGGTCTTGATTTCTTTCTTCTCTGGATTCCCATAACTCTGACTTTTCAGTACTGCATATTACAGCATTTAGTCAAAGATTGCTTCCTTAATGAAACAAAAGCAGGTCCCCAGTGTCTGATACTACAGTGTAGTTGATGGATACAAGAGAAGATCGGTTTATTTATTTTTTTCCTTCTTTAGCACACTCTTTGGCTTTCAAAGAAGAAGCAAAAATATTTTTCTTTCTTACTAGTCATATGCTAGAATAGACTTAGGAATAGATTTTGGAAGCATCATTCATCTTTAGTCTATCTTTTCATTTCTCCTTTTGTGCTTGGTGTTCACTTTTAAGGCAGTTTTTACATAGTTGTTCACGACCAGATAGAAGTTGTAAATATAGTAGTTTATATTTTACTTCATTTAATATTTTGTATTTTGTCCATTCCTGCATGGTCAAAATGGATTATATTCAACCCTCCCCCCATTATTTTATTGAGTACCAAATTAGTGAGTATATTGTTTTGAGCGTGTTTACAATGTTCAAAAGACATTGTCTCTGCCCAGCCATTCTAAATTGGTAAAAATATATATGGAAACTAAATGAAGCTTTAATGCAAATGATTATAATTCACTGTTTAATTTGAATAAAATGCATTATACTGAAGCAGAGTAATTAGAGTTGTCATTTACCTAATAATTGCTATTAATTGCTTTCAAGGGATTAGATACCCCAATTCCATTTTTAATGACAGTGGAATTATTTCACCTTGCCATAGCATTAGTGGTGTTAACACTAATGATTTGCCTGTTTTTCTTATACAATTCAAGATATCATCTTGTTAATAAGAAAGAATTCTTTATCAGGGATAAAAATGTATATTACTAAACTGACAGGATACCCATTTGTTTTCTATATTTTATCTCACTAACAAATGGTGGCAACTGAGACATTTGACTGCCTTCAATGTCAGGGACATCAAATGACATTCCTTCTCTGAATATGTGGCCAAATTTATTTTACTTTCCTCTTTAAACCAACACTCAATAATCAGACTACTCATGCACAAGTAGATTTAAGTGACTGAATTAAACCCCAGAATATTAGATCATGGTATTATCATGTATTATCATTTAATCTTCTTTCTCCTTATTCTACAGAGAAATGATGAAGAGGCAGTTGTGGATAGAGGTGGAACTCGTTCCATTCTCAAAACACACTTTGAGAAAGAAGATTTAGAAGGTAAGACATTCTGTTTGTTGGGGTAGCTATTGGCGTGCTTTCTGAAAGTATTTCAGAGAGAAATGTGAAGTTTGTCAAATTGTGGAGAATTGCAAAAGTTGATATAAGAGTAATAGTAGTGCATTGGTGGGGGTGGGGTAGATATGATTGTTTCGGGGCAGTCAGGAAAGCCGATAGTCAGACCTGCAAACAATGAGAAGCCTTCATTCATCTAAAAGACATTTAATGAACTCCCACTATATTGCAGGCACTGTGTTGTATGCCAGTCTTTCAATAATCCTTGCTTTAAGGAATTATAATCAATTGGGAAATGAAAAGAAATGATGACAGATCAGCATATCAAGTGCTATATGAGAGGTGAGTATAGGACAGGAGGAATGTCTGACTCAGCCTATGTTGGCAGAGTAGGCTGTCACTGGAAGAGAGTTAAGGACAATTGGAATTCTGGTTTTACTCGGATATATATAACACAGAGGTGGAAGCACCACTTATGTGTGTTCTTTCCATTGGGAGGGGCAGCTAATCCAACAGGGAGGTAGTATGGTCAAGTGGTTAACTGTTAATTTCTCTGTTCCTCAGTTTTCTTAACTGTTAAAATAAGGATAACAATGGAATATATTTCCTAAAACTTTTTATGAGAATTAAGGGAAAATTACTTGGAATAGAGTTAGCATAAAAGTTAAGTAAGTATTGACAATTATTGTTTCATCAAAATTTAATGTTTTCGAAGCACTAGTTCATTTTTATTTTTTAACCAGAACTTATTGCTGGTGAGATACAAAGTATATAGTATTTGTCATCTTTTGATTGAACAGCAAAACTCAGGTGATCTTAAGAACAAATAATCAGAGAAAGTTCCTAATAAACCACTGAGCTGAGAGGTAAGGGTTTTTTCACTTACCTCTTTAATGTAATGTAACCATTTAAATTACAATTAAATTCATTGGTCTTGGATCTTATCTTTAGCCACAACAGTTCCATAACAGGGGAGTTAATATAATATTTAGAAACAACTTTCAACAACTATACCTCTCTGTGCCTGACATTTTGCTTGACACACAGGAAATACGCAGGTCCAAGAAAGTTATACTCATTGGGTTGGCTTAGTGATTTACTATGCTATACACATTCATTACATAAATTGAAGCCAGCAAAACCTTGAAAAATCTAAACTCGTAATGGATAATGTAAAAATAATTTCTCTTTGAGTCTGAAATGCCATTATATTACATTTTTTTCATTAGCATATTTGCTTTCCTGTTTATGTCATGCCATGACAAGCTATTTTTGTATTCACTAAACACATACCAAAAAACCTAACAAAGCAAGAAGTTAGTCTAGAAATATTTCTCCCTCTCTCTCTCTATTCTATCCATGGTCTTGATTTCTTTCTTCTCTGGATTCCCATAACTCTGACTTTTTAGTACTGCATATTACAGCATTTAGTCAAAGATTGCTTCCTTAATGAAACAAAGGCAGGTCTCCAGTGAAGAAAGAAGAAATTTGAGACAAAAGTCCACCGAAAAACCCTTAATACTGTCTTCAATGAGCAATTTACTTTCAAGGTGCCATACTCGGAATTAGGTGGCAAAACTCTGGTGATGGCCGTGTATGATTTTGATTGTTTCTCCAAGCATGACATCATTGGAGAATTCAAAGTCCCCATGAACACAGTGGATTTTGGCCATGTAACCGAGGAATGGCATGATCTGCAAAGTGCTGAGAAGGAAGAGGTTAGAAATTATTAGCATTTCTCATATCACAAGCTGTATTCACCAGTTGCTCATGTAATAGCCTATTGAGAGATGTTCTTTACAAAGGGTGATGTGGGCCTCCATCTGTTAACAGCTGGCAAAATAGGGTCAGCGGGACTGTATAACCTTGTTAAGAAGTACTAAATATACAGGTCTTCTGGGTGTTATTTGAAAGAAAAAGAGAGATTTGTGTACTGAGTCTATGAACAACTCTCCCAGACACACACACACACACGTGTGCAGGAGAACTATTTCTAAAAGCTTACAAAATGCCCCGTAAGCATAGAACCTGCTTCTTTACAAGGACTATGAAAAATCATCTTATTCCTCATATTTTTCCACAATCATTTTGTATTTTCTAC